TGTCTCTTCTAGCGCGTTGGCTTGAGAAGCTAAGCGCAGGGCAGTGGTGGCAGTGGTGGTGGTAGCTCCGTCAGCCATTGTGCCCACGAATATCTTCGGTGGCCTTGACACTGTCGTATCACGAGAAGGCGATGCGTGGGGGAAAGAGGAAGTGAGGTGAATAAATCTAAAATGCGAATGCTACTATAAGCTAGTTAAAACACAAGTCCTCGCTGTGCACACCTCGCAGGGCTGCAGTGAGCCTGGTTGCTTGTGGCAGTCAATCACATCTCCAGCTCGCGACTAGCCTCACTTTTGCACGACAATACATGAATGTGGGAAATAACTCTTTCTTTCTCGGATGAATTTTCTGCGAACCAGTAGAAAAGGGGGGGATTTGTGCTTCGGTATCGGTAATTGCTTGTGAAACATGGTCAGAATGTATGATGCTGTAAGGGGAATGGCAGTAGTAATTTTCTGAGCCGCGACGCACCAAGGACTGGAGTTCACCAGAGATTTCCCCAGGGTAGATATCATCTGAAAGTAGTAACTATGATTGGACTAAAAATTTCAATCACATTCTCCCCAACAGAAAGAGCTGCAGTTGGTACCCACTAATGGTGTAAACTTGGAAAAAGATAAGCAAAGGTTCGCACTTTTTCTGATCAATTTCAACTGTAAAAGGACCATAAGGGCCTATGTCCATATCAGGAGATGTGCTAATGCTCGAAAGTTTTGTTTTCTAGCTTTCGAATTAGAATTAGAAAATTAACTACCCAAAAAGATAGGAAGTCATTTAAAGCTTGTGGCAACGGTGCCTGATGTAGATAGATGACTGGAAACAAGAACAAATGTCAGGGCAAAGTAACTATGAAGTTCCTAGCATGCCTCTCAGTCTTATATTTAGTCGCAAATTTCGCCGTATTAGAGCTGTCCACCTACGAAGTGCAATCAATAAAACAAGGGGATTGCATTTTGCAATTTTTTATTTACCGTCATAACTGCACCTAAAACTGGGACGATCCGAAGTTGTAATTCAGCTTTAGTTAGTCCTTGAGTCGCGGACGCAGGTTCTGTCAGCTTCAAGTGGAAAGTCCAGCTACCTAGATGACGCCTTCACCCAGATTTTGCCATGAAATAAGTCTGGAATTGGGAACGACAATCACACACGGCGACGAATAATTCCTATCTCCGGTGGCAGAGCAATAATCGTTGACTTAAATGGTTAAGCGCCCAACTCAGCTGATTACACGCTTTATAGGCGATCGTCTTTTAGGACTCTAGACCGGATCCTCATAAGGAAAACAGAACGTCTGTGTTCCGTCATGCAATCAGCTTAAATCAGGGAACGTCACTCCCGTGTTCCTTACTTTACCCGAGTTCTGAGAGACAGAATTAAAGTCAACCCTAGCTTCTGTCCGGCATCGGTGTGAGTGTTTTGTGTTAATGTATTCAGTGCTTAATTGGCTCGTGCCACAACCTCTATTTTATGACCAGTGCCACGATTGCGAACACAGTTAACAACAGGACAGCCTCGCGAGCGATGGTTGTGACGTGAAGATTAATCACCTAGTCCATCAACCTCAAGGTACAGGCAATAATTCTGTCAGAGATGGCCT